TGTTTTAGAATCTTTTAAACGTGATATTCGTCATCAGGAGCTCAAGTTGTACTAGTCCTGTTACTCTCGAACAATCCGGATAAAGTCGATGTAAATGTGGTACACTCTCGAAAGAATCACCCTACTGTCAATACAATAAGTTTAAACTAATGTGTACTGTCAAATTAGTTCAAATTAATTTACTTGTCCAAAGTGGTGGAAACTAAGTTTCTTTGAACATGTGCATATTAATTTTGTTCTAGAAAATTTATTCACATTACTGATATAAAAAATAGAAATAAAGTTATTTTCAATAAACGCACAGCATCAAAAGCAAAAAAGTTTTTATATAATTGATGTTAATCATCACAGAGTTTTAGAGCAGTCAAAAATTCTTTTTTATACAATTCTGATGGCAAAATAAAAATGAGAAATATTGAAACAACTGGTATAAAGAACAAAAAATATGAGAATAAAAATAGATACGATTCACGCACAGATTTCATACAAACAAAGACGAGTGAAATGGTTAACGAGGCAATACTAATACGATAAGAATATTGGACTAATAATCAAATGTTTAAATCCGTTCAATTGTTCTTTGAAATGTTGTTAATATGTTTGTTGAGCACGAGCAGTTGATCTTGCGCGTGCCGATTTAACAATAATAAATCTAAGTATCAGCTTTGTTCCTTCTTCCGATATGGATGCTTCCGATAATTATCATGATGATGAAACGACCACTATAACTGGGTACAAACAACAACTCGAACAATGTTTAAATGATCGAATACCAAAGACAGAACAAATTATACTTCTATTAGACGCTGCTGAAAGTTTGAATAAAAAATCGTCATTATCATTCTCGTCATCCTACTATTGGCTTCCGAAACAGTTACCATCAAATGTGAAATGTATATTAACAATCGATGCAAGTGAAATACTTGCTTTAAATCAATACTTTTTCGACGATGACAGCAGTGCAAACGAACATGATCGTCACGATGACGATGATAATAAGGAAACAAGAAACAAAATCGAACAAGAGTTCAACATTGAATTACAAAAGTTTAATTATACAGTAACAAAAGAAATCTTTGGACAGTGGTTCAAAAATGACAAAAGAAGACTTAGTGAAGATCAGTGGTTGGACTGTTCTGATATCTTAAGTGGTATTTATAAAATGCATGATTCGGTGTTTCCGCGGGAATTGTTTCGAAACACATACCTTTTCGATGAATGCCATAGTTTGCATTCGTATGACGTAATGTCCAGAACTTTTCGTCAATTCTATCGTATCCCAGAAATAATTGATTATTCGCTGCAGAAGCTGTACTCGAAACATGGTCAGGTTTTAGTACAGCGTGCCCTGCAATATATATGGCTGAATAATGAAATGAATGAAAATGAGCTGAACGATGTTTTGTCGCTTGATGATGATGTTTTAAGTAGCGTCTACCGGTTTTTTCTTCCTTCGGAAGCCGTTTTTCGACTGCCAGGCACACTTTGGGTACGTATTCGAAATGAGTCGGAGCAGTATTTAATTGCAAGGGATTCTGCGGGTGTTTCCACTATTCATTTGTAAGTACAGCAAGATTTCAGATGCAGAGATCATGGTCAGTTCATGATCTGTGTTATGTTGTAGCTCCTATAGAATATTTCTTAGCAGTCCAGTATTCGATATTACCGAAGAAACAATGAATTCGATAGAAAGAAATCGCATTGCATTGATCATGGGTGAATGGAACAATAATAAGCTAAAACCCTTCCAAGTCTCGCCAGATTTAGTTACGAAATTCAATTTGTCATCTAATATTAAATTTAATGTAGCATCCAAGAGTCTATTAACAAATCGATGCCTTAGCTATCATCACCCTTTCTCGAATGTGGTAGATGATCGAGCAGTGTATGACGTGATGAAAATGTCAAATATGCTTCGTCATGTTGCTGACTGTCAAATTGCACGAGATTTCACATTATTTGATTATCAGTTTATGTTTGCTTATTTTCATTGCTTTACATTCTATGATTTAGAGAAACGATTCAAATTTTATAAGAGCTATCCGGATGAATTACTTATTCTCTTTGCTCAATTTCAAAAAATCTATTTAATTCTCGAAAAACATCCTGAAAACTTCTCCATAGAACTCAGTTCCAGATTGTTACCATTTCTTGCAGAGCACTATAGATATCTCGGTTGCGCAAAGCTATTATATCAGTGTGATATACATAGTCCATTTCACTGTGCTTTAGTATCGCCGTACTATCAGACTACGCAGCCTAATCATAATTACAGCGCTTTATTAAAAGAACATGCGTCACCCATTGTTCGTATGAGTTTCGATGGCAACATATTGTGTGCGCGTACAAATGAAGCAGTATCATGTACAATTGTAGATAACTAAACAATGAAAACATACGTAAAACTTAATTCACATGTGGATTTTGGCCCCTACAAACAGATTTTGCTTTGTACTCCTTATCTGTGCGTCTACAGTGATTTCCGTCTGTGGGTCTACAATATGAACCGACCGACAAAACCACTGTTCCAGATCGGTCTTGGATCTAGTAATTCAGGATTTTTGAATGTTGTAACGATATATTCTACCATTTTGGTTTTGTGTAAGAAAAATTCAACATGTATACAGTTATGGGATCCGACAGGAAAAAAATTAATTTACGAAATCAAATATAAAACCACAATTGTCCAATGTCACACTTGTAATTCAGATAACTTGATTCTAATCCGAGTGTTATTAGAGAATAGAACTATAGTTTATTCATTTATGAGTGTTGATCGTCGAGTTAATTCAATTGTTCTTTTCGGTGACATCAAAACTGGTATTGATTTTAATTTTGCATCGCTCGCTTACGAAAGTTTACTGAATACATACATTGATGTTTTTTATTTTTGTAAAACAAAACAGAGTTCGACCGAAGCGAAAATGATGTTCTGCTATCTTCCATTTATAAACCCTCAGGAAACAAGAGGGACGATAATTCAGGAAACAAGAGGGACGAACCCTCAAGGGAGACGATGTTTATCGTCAGACTGATCTGCCAACTATCTCACTAATACATCCAATCAGGCGTTTGCAAAGCAAGAAGCGAGAAAACCGTTATTGTCTTTGAAAGACAACTCACAGAATTTTTCTTCCAAATAGCAAGTCCTACATTTGTTGTTAATAATTCTATTAATTGATTGTCTATCTTCTTATCAATTGTATAAAAACATGCATATGATGGAAGAAACCACATATAAAAACAATACGTTAAACCAATATTTGTACTGTACCAATATAACCACTGTTTTTCGCTGGGAAGACTGGGAAAGCCTCCTTAACTTTTGAAGGAAGCGCCAACGGCCGCTATCCTGTTTAGCTTTTTACTAGCTCGATACTCTCTATCGATCGACGTATGAACGAACGAAATCAGAGAGTATCACCTGAATAGGGTTCTTTGTAAGGAAAAACTCAGCATTATATTTGTGAGTTTTTTCTTCAGTTTTTCCAGTATCGCTAATCTGCAACTATCTCACTAATACATGCAAAGAACTAAAAAACTGAAAATTGAAATTTATTGTTCTATAATGAAGTTAACAATAAGAAATACAGATAAATAAAATTTATTAATTCAAAGAAAATAATAAAAGGAGAACAGGAAGACATATTTTGTCTCTATAATCTTTCGCAATCAGTTCGATATACTATATAAAATCCCATTAACAAAGTCAGATAGTTAGCAATGGTTGAATATAGAATTTATACACAAAAATGGATAGAAAAGAACCCTATTCAGGTGATACTCTCTGATTTCGTTCGTTCATACCAGGGCTGGGCAACTCCGCCGAAGTTCAACTCCAACTCAACTCTAACTTCAACTCCGTTTTTAAATTTGCGATCCAACTCTAACTCCAACTCTGTTTTTAAATTTTGCGATCCAACTCCAACTTCGTTTCAAAAAATCGCAACTCCGTTTCAACTCCGGTTGTTTTTTTTTCTTTTATTTCAGAGACAAGTGTTAAGAAACAACAGTAATAACACATAAAATTGAAACTTCTTCAAAGTAACAAATGAAAGTTACATTTCAAAAATGTCAGTTTTGACAGCATTGTTTTTGTTAGAGAGGCCCTTTGTGGTCTCATTAAAAATCCGCTGTGACTGAACACCCGCTCCACCGGCGCAGATGTGGCTGGAACGCTCAGCAATTTAATTGCTAGTTCATAGAGCAATGGGTACGATGATCGTTGATCGAGGATGTGTCCCTTGCTGTCGTCTTGTAAATATTGAAATATTTCGGCTTCGACTTGTAGACGCATATCGACTAGTTTCGACTTCTTTTTTTCATTTAACGAACAATAAGAAAATAAACTTTTTCTTTTGGGCTTGAAAATGTTGTCAGCATCATCGATGTTTTTCTTGCCACCAATGTCTATTTTGTCACCACCGCCTTTTTCATTTGTTGTCGACGGATTGTGTTCACGGTGCAATTGAACGGCGAGTTCACAAATCATTTTTTTAATGTTTTCACATAGATGAGTTTTCACGGCGTCCGACAATATTGACGACGATATCCAATTCAGTTTAAAGTTCGCGTCGAGGAATGGGGTTAGAAGAAAAATTTTGTCTTTGTACAAATCCGACATTTCCTTCTTCTTAAGATTGGTCGGCAATTGTATGTCAAAATATTCAAGCATGCCACTGAATCGTTCAATCAATGACTGAATCAATCGTTTGCACAATGACGACGGGTAAACACAATTTTTTAATTCGTTTTTCAAATCAAAATAAATGACAATGATACTCGGTGCAACCATGCTGATCGACGGACCGTTTTGGGCTTGCGTTCGACTTGTTGCTTCGGCGAGTAAACACATCAATGATAGAAATTCTTTTAGCTCCGCTTCATCTTTTTGTGTAACGCACAAAAAATCTTGTTTCAAATCTCGCAGATACTGATTCAACATTTTCAACGGTATTTGCATTGTTTTTGAAACGGTGTCGTATTGACTGTTCCATCTCGATTTGACCGCTCTCGGTATTGAATATTTGTTGTCTTGCAATATTTCGGCAAATTTAGTAC